ATATATATATATTATGTATGCATATGTTTTCGTGCATACACATCTGTATGTAGACCCTAAACCCTAGATCCTAAACCCTGTATGTTTCGTATATGACCAGGATCCTTCATGTGGTATTCCCGCAACATTAAGCTTGCATGAGTATTCGCACCAAGCCCGGAAACCAAGGATTCTCTTTGAGATCATGCTACAGGGAGTACAAGGGCCTGCGGCCTAATAGAGGCCGCAGGGGCCTCGCGGACCTGACACACATTGCAGGGACCTGGGCCTTTCAGGATAGAAGGGCCTCTGGCCCAACAAAGACTGCAGGAGCCCACCCACCAAACAAGAGATATGCTTATCCAAATTTGACTCGAGGGCGCAAAAATCTCTCCTACCATTCCAAAATGTTGTTTGGGGTTTACTATCAGCATACCACATTTGATTTTATTCATTTATGCTGACAAACACACGCATATGCATGTAAAGCGACAGCAGCCGCCGTGCTTGCACAGACAACTTGCAGTTCGACAACCTTTCTTTTGCGGCAGACGGTTCCTCGATCGTGAGACAGCATGCCTCTTCATTACTAATTTGGTTCATGCAAGTGACCTTGTGTCTGAAAAGAAACTCGTCAGCATCTCCCTCGATGCAGGTGGGGAGAGCTGATCTCGGTCGCATGTACACATGCGGCGCGCACCCCTTTCACTAAAACTCAGGAGGCGCCAGCAGTTTCGGACCCTGCGGCCCGTGGCGTGCTAGCCCCACGCAAGTCCTTCAGCAAGGTTCGTGTGGCCGAGACCAAGTCCTTCAGGCGGGCCTCGTCGAAGGGAAGCTCGGGCAGCAGAGAGCGGCTGTCCTTCAAGTGCGTCGCGACCGCGCTGTTGGCTTTAAGACGCCAGTCCTCCAAGCCGGTGAGGCGCCCTTGCAGCGTCTCCTTGGTCAACTCCGCAAGGCTCGGTTTCTTGAGGGCCTTCTCCAAAGCTTGCGTGACAGGCTGGAGNNAGCGCGTAGGTGGTCTTCGTCTCTTTCTTTCTGCGGGCCAGCTCCTCCTTCAGCTGCTTCTTCTCTTGCTTGTTCTTTTCGTTCTGCAGCTTCTTTGCAAGCTGCTTGGCCGTGAGCTCCTTCAGAGGTCGCTCGTTTCCCGCGGCGGGCTCGTCGTCCTCGTCCGACAGCAGGGCCAGAGCCTCCTCGACGTCCTGCTGGGTGTCGACGGCGGGCTTGTCCTCCTCCGCAGCTGTCGCCTCGAGAGCCTTGCGCTTGCGAGGTCGGAGAACCACGAGCAAGGACTGCTCCCGCAGGGTCTGCTGCTCCGACGCGTCCAGCACGAAGTGCACAGGTACTCGGAAGGTAGGGCCGAAGACCTCGGCTTGTCGTACAGTAAACTCCCTAAACCCTAAACCCTGTTTTTAAACATAAAAAAGTTATTTAAATTATACGACGCCAAGCAACAGGGTGTTCTTCGCGTTCTCCATACTTCTCGATGTTGTCCAGCTCTGTCTCGGTGTGGCCCAGGGCTGCCCAGCGCGAGAGAGGCAAGAAAGCACCCTCTTGCTTGTCTTTCTTCGTGTTGAGGGTCCGCACCTTGGCCATGGTAGCAAGCTCTTCTCGGATCTTGCTCAAGGAGATCTTGCCCGAGTCGTCCCGTAGCTTCTGGGCCGAGCGAAAGAAGTCCAACTTCTCCTCGTCCTGCAACTGCATGCTCGGCGGGATATCCAGCCGAGAGAGGTAGGTAGCGAGGCCATTGCAACTCTTGCAAATGGTTCGACCACAAGCTTTCTGGATGAGCTCACTCACCGCGACTTCCACTTGACAGCGCCCGCAAACTTTGGCTTCGACCTTTGCCACGGCAGTCGGCAAGTCCGCCATGGCTGCAGCAGGGGGACGTGTCGGGCGTAACAGGACAAGACTGCAAGAGGCTGCATCACGCCTAGCAGTTTAGTCATGCGAGGAATCCTCAGAGCGGCAGCAGCCGCCGTGTGCAAACGCTGCTTAGCGGCAGCAACCGCCCAAGTGACTGCATCCTCCGGCAACGAAGCACAGCTTGGAGAGAAGCATCAAAGGGAGCAGAGCAAGCTCCAGACTACCCGGGACTACCTCGTACTACCGCCCCAGATGTGCGCGCCTCCTACAGCATTGGCTACATGGCCTGGGCCTGCAGGCTCCAGGGCAGGTCCGAACTACCCGGGACTTCCCTGGATTCGATAGGTCCGATAGGACAGTTTTGGCCCCTAAGCGGCTGCAGTCATTAGTCCATCGCGTTCAAGTCGAGCCCTGCCTGCTTCTGAGACTGCTTGTGAGACAGTTCTCGCTCTCGATCCTCGCAGCCAGCCGTGTGGAGCCCAGTCTGCTTGCGGCATAACTTGCAGCACCACGTGTGACCTGAGTCTGGCTCCAAGGCGCGGGTGCAACTGGCGCAAGTGGTCCGCGGCACACCCGACAGGGCCGCCTGTCGTCGTGTGCACCCATAGCTGTGAGGATGCCCGGAGCGACAGGGCCCGCAGCAGAACCTTCGTCCTGGGCTGCACAGCCGCTGGTCACAGATCTTACATCTGCAAGCAGCTTTGCCGGACGACGGCGCCAACATGGCACGCGCAAGTGGCGCCGGCGGGGCTTGGCAACGCGATGGGACCCTGCGTGCTCAAGAACCTGGAATAAAGCGACGCCGCGCAGCACATGTATGGAAGGCATCCTCTGGCGCTGCCCCTGTCAGCGGCTGCAGCCGCCGTTCAGAGAAGTGCACTTGCAAATGCAAGGTAACAGTAGGAGACACCACAAACAGATATCTCAGCTTTCTTGTCGCGTGCTGTCTCACTTGCTACGACACCGAGTTTGAAAAAAAATCGTCTATGCCGGCCGCGAGTATATATGTGGCCAGACAACGCAGGACAAGAGAATGACTTGGCGCAGCGCATCTCACTAGTCGTCGAAGGCTCGATCTGCACGGAACTGGGCACCGCCGGCACGCTTGTTCTGCTGGCGGCGTGCTTCCACTTGTGCTGTCAACTCCTGCTGCTCGTGCGCCGCTGCTCTGTCTGCAAGCACGCCCGACGCCTCGGCCACCAGGCGGCGTAGGTGCTCCACGGGCAGCGCCTCAAGCTGGAGTCGCAGCTCGGCGTCTGTCATGCCGCGCAGCGCTGCACTGAGTGGACACACCGACATGCCGTGACGGTGTACAGAGATGCCGTGACGGTGTACAGAGAGGCTGTCTACGGTGCACACACTGCAAAGCAGTGGCTGCGTTTGTGCCTGCCATGCTTCAAAGATTTAGTTACTACGACTTCTTCTAGCGGCTGTAGCCGCCGTACACACACACATGCAGAAGCAAACGTCTAGAAGCGGCAGCAGCCGCCGTGAAGTTGAGCTCCTTCTAGGAATTCCGCCCACAAAGACACATGCACTGTATTGCACTGTACTGCCTCACATGTTTGTACTGCATGCAGGGGCTGCATGTCTTGAAGGGTTCGGGGTTTGGGGCCTTGCCTCCGTATATTATATCTTCTTATGATAGGGTGTACTAAGTGATGTGGTGTTCTGATTACTCAATGGTGTCGCAATAAGCATGATTTCGGAACGGAACTTGGAATAGTGCAAAATGTTCCCGGAACTGTGTCATGAAGTGGTTCTGAAGGGCAACAAAACCCAGACATGCCAACCGAAACATTCTGCTTCTGATTCGGTCCGCCCGGAAAGCAGGATTTCCTATATAAGCAAAATCAAGGTTTATTTTCAAGAGAGTTGCCCAGGACAGCCGTGATTTTTGATTACTTCTTTTTTAAGTGCTTCGGCTTAGTGCGGCGCCTAATGCTTAATAGAAAGTATAGAGGAGCCTGAAGCCTGACAGGAAGCACACAGGGCTGAGGCCTAAAGCAGAGACTACAGGGGCCGGAGGCTTCACCAAAACGCCAGAGCCGGGAGGCCTACTTGGGACGACAAGGGCCTCACCCCTACAGAGACAACAGAGGCTGCAGAGGGCCTGGGGCCTAATCCAGCCCCCCCATAACAAAAACAGAGGAGAGCGTTAGAATGCCCCAGCACGCATTTTTCCTGACACTGTGAGGCCGCGCAACGATCAGTCCCAGGGCGACTGCTGGCCAGCACGCTGCAGTCCGCGCTCCGCGGCGAGCACCCTCAGGAGCCTGTCCGCATCCCAGAGCAGGTCTGTAAGGGTCCATATCGCACGGCGCGTCTCCGTCAGAGCGTCGTCCGCCTCCTTGGCCACTTCTTGCAGCCGCTGTTTCTTCCAGGGTGGCAAAGGCACGCTGGTGTCTTCAGGCCAGGCCGCAGCAGCTAGGTCCACGTCTGCCGGTCGCGCTAGGTCGGCGTCTGCTGCCTGTGCCGGGCCAGGCCGGGCTGCCGAGCTGCCGCCAGCTGCCAACGGTGTCGGCTGCTTCGGTGGTGGCGGCGGCGGCGGCTTCGCACATGGCGGCTCCATGCCTTTAAGGGCAGGACGCAGAGCTACAGTTCACGAACTTGATAAAGCCTGCGGCAGCGTGCGTCATACCTGGAGATCGAGGTGCCATGCCAGAACCTACACTGTATAGCGGCAGCAGCCGCCGAGCATGCACATTGACCGAGCGACAGCAGCCGCCGAGTGTTTGCACTGCAGAAGTATGACTGAATTACATGAATGTCCTGGCGGGAAGGTGAGGGTGGGGATGCTGCTGCTGCTGCCTGCTTCTGGCATTCTGGAGTGGGTGCAGTATAGTAGCATAAGAAATTAGACTGACATGACTGAGCGGCCGCAGCCGCCGCGCAGCAGGAACTTGCATGCAGGAATATAGAATATAGATCTAAACAAAGACACTTTGAGTCTTCGCCTGTGTCTAGGCTTTTCTTATAAGGTCTGTGCATATAGGGCATCTTGGCTGTAGCATGCAGGACGTCTCAGTACCGCACAGAGTTTCTATTTTTCGCTCAAGGCCCCAGGTCCTGCCTCTTGCGCTTCCCTTGATACGGAGCACCGTACTGTGCCTCGTACCAGGCCCTATTCTGACCGCCTTTTTTGCGGTTTCGCGGCCCTTCCTGTGAGTGACGCCGCTGGCGCCAAAGCTCCCTGTTGCTAGGCTGGGCGTGGCCTTCTCTCAAACCTCTCTGCTGCAGACTCTCAGCCTTGGGCACAGGTCTGCAGGAAGAGCTGGACGTGCTGCCCGACTCACGCTCCACGACGTGGCTAGAAGCGGCAGCGCTTGAAGCCCTCTGCGTGTCTGCAGCGCCAGACCTGCCCACGACCGGCGCAGTGCTGCCAGCGGCGCTGGCCACAGCAGCAGTTGACGCCTGGGGCTCCACCGCACTGCGTTCCAGCCAACGGCACTCACCTGGCTGGAACACGTAACCTGCCCAGCGCTCCAGAAAGAGCCGCGCCGCCGACAGAGCCATGTCTGGCTCCACACTAAGCTGTCCTCTCAGCCAAAAATTCATGGGGCCGGTCACGATGAGTTCAAGCCGAGCACATGGAAGTGTAGCGGCAGCAGCCGCCGTGCAGAACAAATGAGACACTTGGAAAGTGCGCTGCTGATGAGATACCTTTGTTTGGTTGCCGTGGAGCGAGCACCATATACTGTGGGCGAATGCACTGCGTGACGTATATATAATTACGAATTAAAGACTTCTTTGCCAGCTGCAAGGAACAGGTTCAAGAAAGAACTCTGTGCTTGCTAAAAACGAATATAAACACGCACAGCTGGCATAGAAGAACGCTGCAGACGTCGGAGTAGTGGACAAAAAATGTAAACAACTAGAGGACGCGCTTGCGCGCAGTAGATCCAGATTCGAAGATCAGAGACAGCATCTCGATCAGGAGCCACTCAGACCAGCTGGCCACGGTAGCGGTAGCAGCTGTCGGTGCAGCCCCGCTTCTGCCAGCGGCACTTGGGGCAACCGTTCTTGCTGTAGACTTGCAACACCTGGAGCCGCACGCCGGCCTTGTAGCGTCGGTGGAAGTCTTTGCGGGCCTTCTCGTCCACGAACTTCAGGCCGGACTTCACCTCGAGAGCCTTCTCCTCGGCAGCGCGCTTCTGCTTGAGCGTCTGCTTCTCCACGCTCTTTTTGACTGGCTTGCAAGGCTTCTTCGCTTTCTTCACAGACTTCTCAGCTGTCTCGCAGGGTTGCTTCTCAGCGGTCGTGGCCTGCACGGTGCTCGCATCGAAGCCACGCACGTTGCTCTTGGAGCGAACTCGTCGAAGACACTGAAGCGGAGTCGCCACCGGCCGAGAGCCAGCAGTGCACTGGTTTTGCTTGGACTTCTT